TTTTTTTTTTTTTTTTAAATAAATTTATTTATTCATTTATTTTGGCTGCGTTGGGTCTTTGTTGCGGTGCACAGGCTTCTCACTGTGGTGGCTTCTCTTGTTGGGGAGCATGGGCTCTAGGCTCCTGGGCTTCAGTAGTTGCAGCACGCAGGCTCAGTAGTTGTGGCTCACAGGCTCTAGAGTGCAGGCTCAGTAGTCATGGCGCACGGGCTTAGTTGCTCCACGGCATGTGGGATCTTCCCGGACCAGGGCTCGAATCCGTGTCCCCTGCATTGGCAGGCAGATTCTTAACCCCTGCACCACCAGGGAAGTCCCAGACCTTGCATTTTAAACAAGCCCCTCAGGGACTGGAATGTTCCCTATAGTTTGAGTATCACCATCCTAGGCCATTTCTTGAGGCAGCTTCTATAGCAAAGAGTCCAGAACTCTGTCCTACTGAGGTGAGGCTTCAGGCTGACTCAGGCCAGGCCTGGACACTCTCCTCTGGAGGACGGCTGAAGTCTAAGGGCTTGCCACCTACCTTGGGCCTCCCAATTTCAGTGCCCCTACCAGACCCTTCCAAGTATGTCCCCTGCCCCCCTTGCTCCAATACAAATATTTACAGACAGATAAATTCACGTACATTCTCATGTACATTTCTAGTTCCCTAAATCCGTTGATCTCAGCTCCTATTTTGGGGCAGATACTTCCACCTGGTAGTCCAGCAAGCCTGGGCCAGCTCTCTCCTGTCTCAGCTTCCTCCTTTGGGTGCCGAAGGTTCCCACTGGCATCCTCCCCTCCCCCACCCTCTTTTGGCCTGTTGCTTCCTTTCTTGGGCTTGAGTAACTAAGCTGGCAGGGACCTCAGAGGCTGCCACTAGCCCCTTGGTGGCTACCCTTCCACGTAGCTCCTGCTTGCCAGGCCTCAAGTCCCTCATCATCGTTCATATCCTGCTCCCTCCAGGCAGCCAACTTCGGTAAGAAGCTAACCCTTGTCAGGGGAAAGTGAAGTCTAGGCTGGACAGGTACCCTGGCCTCCCTCCATCCCTCACTGGGCAAGTCCCTGCCCTTCTCTGCCCCTCAGTTTCCTCATCAGTAAAATAGGTGTTATCAGTAAATAATATTGATACCTCCTTCATAGCGTTGCTGGGAAGATTAAAGAGCCTGGCTCGGGTAAAGTGTTCAGGGCAGTGCCTGGCACTCAGCACCTGCTAGGTGCTCCATAAATGGGAATCGTGTTGATGATGATGGTGATGATGATGGTGATGAAGGGGGGGAGGGGGAGGAGGATAGCAAGAGTAGTAACGGTTCTCCCAGCATTCACTAGGCGCCTCCAGCTCCCCGTTCTAGCCTTCACAGCACTGCCGCGAGCTGGGACCAGCTGTACTCATCTTACAGTGGGGAGCCTGAGGCCTAGGGAGAAGGGTTTGTCCCAGGCCATGTGATGATGGAGCTGGACAGTGGCCTCACCCTGTCCAGTTGTCTCTGGCTCTACCCCAGACTCTGCACACCTCTTGCTGGTGAGGGGCAGGGTGTGAGGGGATGGCAGCCGGGGGAGGCGACGGGTTTTCCTGTGACTTCCATCTTCCTGGCTTGGGCCTGGCTTTCCAGGGGGGGTGGTCCATGGATGCCAACAGATCACAGTTTCCAGGCAAGAGGTGAAGAGGAGAGGGGTGAGGTCTTCAGGCTGTGGAGTCAGACGGGCTGCATTCATGTTTCAACTCTGTTTCCTCCCTCCTGGTCCTGGGACCTAGGCCAAGTTACGTTTTTTTCTCTGAGCTTTAGTTTTCTCTTATAAAATGGGAATGCTAAGTCTTCACGGAGTTGTCCCAGGGCTTCAAGAAGATTGCAGCGTGTTGACAGCTCTGTGCCCACAGTAGTGATCCTGTCATAGAATGAGACCCAGGAGGGCCAGACAGAGCTGGCGTGGCCTCGGGCCTGTCATTGTGCTGCTGTGTGGCTAAGATGAGGCTGGCCAGAGCCCATGCTGCCTATCACAGGGGTGACAGTCCTTATGTTACTCCTCGCCTCACCTGTCATTCCTCCCTCTTGTACACGGAGTGATTTCTGCTGTGTATAGGACTGTCTGAACCAGACAGACCTGAGAGATGGTCCACTCGGCCACGGTCATCTTATGGATGGGCTGCCTGAGGTCTAGAGAGGAAAAGATCCCCCAGGCTTTTCCCACGGGTCATCCCCTGAAGCTGGCCCCTTGTGCTGGGTTGAGTTGTCTCACAGTGCCCTCTGCTGCCAGACCCCCGCCTTGCCGGCTGCTCCCTGGAGGTCTGGCAGAGCAGAGCCACGGGCCTGTGTCTGTCCTTTTCCTGGGAGCCGGGGGAGCTCCAAGAGTATCTGTGTCTCAGCCCACGACGCTGCCATTGAATTTCACCCCAGCCTGGCCTGGCTTGGCCCAGGATCACGGGTCATGCTTTGACAGTGAGGAGAAGAGGCTGTGGCCCCTCCCTGGCTGTGCTTCATTCTCCCCTCCTGCAGCAAACTGGCTTGGGCAGAGGCTGTCAGCCGAGGGTGCCAGCCCTGCTGCACTAAGCTTACCACCTAGGCTGCAGGTCAGACAAGAGGTGCCTTCCAGCTCTAAGACATGATAATACCTTCTAGCCTCCTATTTTTAAAAAGCCTAAAGGACTGTTTCCTCTGTCTAAACAAATAAGTGTAGAGTTTAGCTCCAGTGTTTCTACAAGGTTCCTTGGGGTCTGCCAGGATAGTCTGGGTCAGAGAGAGCAGCCAGCCATGGCCAGGTGGCCCCAGAAGTCAGATCAGGACCAGTAGGAGAAATCAGGTGAGGCCCTGCTCACAGAAAAGCCCTCAGTCATGGGTGGGCTCTGGAGCCAGACCTGAAATTCTCTGCTACTGGCCAGCTCGGAGAGAGCCCAGGCAAGTTACTGGACTCCTCTGGGCCTCAGTTTCCTCAGCTGTAAACTGGGGGAAATAAACAGCAAATAGCTCTTAGAATTGTTGAGAAGGTTAAATTAAAGTATGATATGGCACTTTAGCACATTGCCTGGCATATAGTAAATAACAGCAGTAACCACCATAGCTTATAGTTATTGAGCATTTCCAGTACCAGGCACTTCCGCATGTGTTCATTAATCCTCATAACGGCCCTATGAGGTAGGTTCAATTATTATCCTCATCTTACAAATAAAGAAACTGTGGCACAGAGAAGGGATGTAATTTGGCTAAGGTCAATTAGCTAATCAGTGACTGAGCCAGGATTCAAATCCAGGCAGTTTATTTTTTTATTATTGTTTTTTAAAGTAAGTTTATTTTATCTTTGGCTGTGTTGGGTCTTTGTTGCTGCACGTGGGCTTTCTCTATTTGCGGTGAGCGGGGGCTTCTCTTCTTTGCAGTGCGGGGGCTTCTCATTGCGGTGGTTTCTCTTGTTGCAGAGCACAGGCTTTAGGCACGCGGGCTTCAGTGGTTGTGGCACACAGGCTCAGTAGTTGCGGCTTGCGGGTTCAGTTGCTCCGCGGCATGTGGGATCTTCCTGGACCAGGGCTCGAACCTGTGACCCCTGCGTTGGCAGGCGGATTCTTAACCACTGCGCCACCAGGGAAGCCCCTCAAATCCAGGCAGTTTAGCATTTAACTCTTAACCATGACTATTGTTATAGTTATAATTACAATATGAATTATAATTATTCTTCTAGTCCCTGGAGGTGGCCGGGGGGCTGGGCAGGCTCCAGGGATTTCTGTCTGGAGTGAAGGGAGGGCTGAGTGGTTCTGGGTTCACCTCCATTCGCCTTTCAGCAGGGAGGGCCATGGAGCAGAGCAGGCAGTGGGGAGCAGATGGGAAGGAGAGGCCCCTTTGCGTGCTGGGCCCTGGGCAGGCCTCGCTGCAGCTCTTGGAGACAGGAGGCTTGGGAGCCACTCTGAGGCTGGAAGTCAGAACCCTGACTCTCTGTCTCAGTCTCTTCTCTTCCTGGCACACAGCACCCCTTGGTGTGTGGGTTTCGCTAGCCGCTTTGGGGGCCGACTCCCAGGGCCAGAGTTCCCTGGCCCCTCTGTCAGGCTGATTGGTGAGGGCCCGACCCTGGAGATGACCCCCTCCCAGCAGTGGAAGGAAGAGCCCATTTCCCAGCAGTGCAGAGGCTGGGGGTGCCGGGCGGGCGGGAGTGGTCCCCAGGCCCATTGTGTGGGGCCGATAAAGTGCGGAAGCTGAGGTTAAATGGGAGGAAGCCCAGTGCTGGCGGCCCTTTCCCACGGATGGGGGCTTCAGGCACGGCCCAGCCAGCCCAGCACAACTGTGACCTGTGTGCCTGGGGTGACAGTGACAGCGTCCACTGGGCTGTGAATGCTGGCGGTCCCCGATTGCTGAGGGCGCCATGTGTGCCAGGTTGGGCCTTGGGGGCCCAGACTTTATCCCGGTGAATATCTCAACAGCGGGTTGGGTGGCCGTCACCATGCCTCTGCTAGAGCTAAAGAAGCTGAAGCTGAGAGGCCAGGAAACGTCTCCGGACTCAATGGCAGCAGGATCTATACCCAGGCCTGGCTGCAAGCTGCAAGATCCGGAATCCCACACCACAGACGGGCGTGTGCCTGTGAGTGCACGTACACACGTGTTTACAACCTTGGTAGGGCAGCATTCTCAGGAAAGAGGCAGCATTTCCCCTGAGTCTTTCATTGAAGACATTCAAAATGTGCCCCATCCTCTGCATTTAACTAGTAGCGTCCTCTGGCGGAGAAACACAGGCCCTGAATTCAGACAGACCTAGATTCCAGCTGTCACTTAAAGGCTGTCATTTAACTCCTTGGGCAGGTGACTTAACTTCTCTGAGGTTCTGTTCACTTTATGGACTTACTCTGAGGATTAATGAGATAGTGTCTGGATAATGCCCATTCTGAGGTCTGGCCTATAGCATGAGCTCCATGAATGAAGCTATATAATTCATTCATCCATCCATCCATCCGCGGGTGGTTGCACCACTGAGGCTGGTAGCTCCCCCTGCTGGCTATATCTGGATTAAGGCCACTTTTCTTGCCAGAATTGAGAACGCAGTATTTTAAGGTTTAGCCCGTCTTCTTTATTTTACAAATGAGGAAACTGAGGCCCAGGGTATGGCTCATGAGGAGTCTGAGCTGCGATTCACATCTGGTGGCTTTCTGTCTTATCTTAGGACATAGTGTCCAAGCCCAGCCTACCCTTAGCTCTACCTCCTCCAGTATCTCAGAGCATTTCCTGTACTCCCGCTCTGGAGTGGCACTGTGGAGGCCCTGGTTTCCCCTGGAGGAGGCTGGGCACACACAGGCAGGGCGACAGAGGGCGGGCGGCCCCAGTAGAGCTGGTGGCAGCCTGGAGTGGTCTGGAGGAGGCGAGGAGTAGCAGACTGGGAGGAGGTAGAGACTGGGCAGAAGAGGAGAGAGTGTTCCAGGAAGGGGGCACAGCACAGGAAAAGGCAAGCAGGTGGGGGTGGGCTCAGTGGAGCCCCGGGGAATAAAGTTGCAGGCCTTCTTGGATCAAGCAGTGAGGCCTTCAAGACACATCATTCCCAGCCTGCTTTCCCTCTCTCTTGATTCATTCATTCATTTAACAAGTATTTCTTGAGCTCCTAATGTATACCAGGCCCAGTCAAGGTGACCTAGACAGAGGTGAAGGCAGACAGAGCCCCTGCTCTGGGGAACTCACAGTCCAGTAGAGGAGACAGATTTGGAAGAAGCCATGTTGGTTATAGTGGGGACCTCACAAGGGGTGAAGGGGGCACACCCTTGGTCTAGGGGCCAAGGAGGGCTTCCCAGGTGAGGAGGCATTTAAGCAGCTTACCCAAGGTCAGGTCTTTCCTGAGGCTGGGTCTTAGGAGGAAAGGGAGGTGGGAGAGTCATAAAAGCATCCCCCATGGAAGGAATAGCACGTGCAAAGCCTGAGGTGAGGGGACCGGGCTGTGAAGACATTCCTTCTGGCTAGAGGGCAGTTTGAAGAGGTTGCTGGAGTAGGGGTCAGGCTCTCCAGAGAGATAACCAAAGGAGTTGTAACTGAGGTTGTTATGAAGCTTTCTGACCAGATCCTAAGATGGTAGGCCCTGCATGTCATGTCAGGGAGTTTGGACATTATCTCGAGGGTACTCGGGAACCATGGAAAGCTTTAAGGCAAGAGAGGTGCTCTCCTGTGTGATAATTTACTTAACACACTGCTGACCAATCCCAGGTCTCTTTAAAACCTCAGAATCCTGAGTTGGTTAGTCATTATGATCTCCATTTTGAAATTAAAAGCACTAGAGGCTCAGAGAGGGACAGCAATTGGCTAAGTCACACAGTAGAACCTTCACTGAAGCTTCCTCTCTGGCCTGCCCTACTGCCATGAATGCTGCGTTTCTGGTTTCTCCTGCACAAGTCGTGTATCAGGAGGAGACTCCTTTGGGTGGAGACTCTGCTAAGCCAGCCACACTCCATGAACAGACTGCTCCCTGTAGTGGGGTCTCCCCGCCTCCCCTGTTCTTCAAGGAGTGGGAGCATGGAGGTGGGAGTGGTTTGTAGGAGCTGCTGGATCCCTGAGCCTCTCTTTGCTCAGGCAGGAGCCCCTGGGTACCCAGACTGCAACATGTCTGTTTTCTCTCTGCAGATGAGCGGGGCTGACACAGCTGGGGATGACGATGATGCCTCCCGGAAGAGAAAGAGCAAAAACCTGTACGTTGGAAAGATCCCTGGTCCTCACCCTAGTGATCGGGGTGGGGGGTGGGGCAGGCAGGTGGGTCTGGGGTGGGGGACTCCCTGCACCCCCCTTCGTCCTCTGCCCTCTGGCTTATTCCCCATGCCCAGTGGCCTAGGGATAGAGGCGGAGAGAAGGGGCTGAACCCAGTCCTGCCCGAGACAGACACCCGTGAACAACGGGATCTTGGGACTTAGCAGCGGCCCCAGGGTAAGGTCACCAGGGTCCTAAGCACCCAGCACTGCCCTCAGCATCCACTCAGAGTGAGGCAAGGTGCTGATTTAGTATCTGGAAGCCACAGGGAACCAAGCAGAAGCAACCAACCAGGTTGCCCTGGCCCTGTCCAGCTGCTAAGCCAAGCAGCGGCCAAGTGACCACGACAAGTTCTTTGTTCCCTCTGAGAAAGCGCTGACCAGACTGGTCATGGGATTCCCCTTTCTCCTCTCGAGCTCTTGCATGCTAGCAGTCTTGGGCATTGCCAGAAGGGGGTGCTGCTGGCTCAGAGAGCAGATCCGGTACCTTCCTGGCCGCCCCCCTCTCCCCCCCCCCCCCCCCCCCGCTACCCCGCTCCCGAGACCGTTTATACTTTCGATTCGATTCGGAGGTTTGTTAGAGGTGCTCATTCATAACAGAGCGTGAGTGGTTTCTTCTCGGGTCTTTTTGTACCTCGGGCCCTGGAGACTGTGCAGGGTTGGGAGGAGGCAGTGAGGCACCTGGTGGCCCACAGAGGGAACCCCTCCCCTCTCCAGGTCCTGTAGTGCCCACCATTATGCACCAGTTGGGCCGGGTGCGGGGTGGGGCTGGGGGGGAACAGGAGTCCTTCCCAGGTGCCTCCTGCAACCTTTTTCCCTGACCTCGACCTTGGCTGGGG